TCCGCTTTTTGATCACACAGAAGCACAATTGCGAAGGTTTCCAGAATTGCCCAGTGACGTTTCTTTGTTTTTACACCTGGAAGAATCTGGATATCGCTTGGGTTCACGGACATCCACATTAAGGAGTTGGGTTCTTTTCTCCTGTTTGCTTCGTGAACACCATAAGCATTGTTTATTGAATGTCCAGTACGGTAGCTGGATGGTGTGCCTTCAGTAGAGAATCTTTCAAAGATTTAAACATTGTGCTCAAGATAGGAACACCCTTATGCCCTATTATATGTAATTCAGAAGACCTACCATTAATAATACTGTATGGCTTCTATGAAAGTTGCTAAGAGAGTAGATCTTAGACGTTCTCATCACAAGAAAAAAATCGTTTACCTATGTGTGGTGATGGACGTTTGTTTTTGCTTTTGTGGGGGTTTTGGTGATGGATGTTAACTAAACTTACTTGATGATCATTTTGCACAGATTATTATATTGTACACCTGAAACTAATATAATTTTATATGTCAATTATATATCAATTTAAAAAAGAGAAAACATAAATGTGAAAGAATACATTTAAAGAATAGATTAAGGGGCGCCTGGCTGGCTCAGTCAGTGGAGCATGTGACCCTTGATCTCAGGGTTGTAAGTTCAAGCCCCAGGTCGGGACTTTTAAAAAAAAATCTTAAAAAAAAAAAAAGAATAGATTTAAAGTATCACCAGTGTGCCACCCATCATGGTAATGATTGAAGAAAAGTTATCAACCCATTTTAAAACTATGGTTAAAATTTTGGTGAGGAATAAAGTACTTGTATGGCCTCGAATATATCCCCACAGATTACAAACTAAGTTAATGAGGGGAAACTTTTACATTTAGTTAACACCACCAATAAATGAAAAATGCTATGTGACACACTGAGAACAGAACATCATTTATATTTTTGCCAAAAGTGCATAACCTCAATCCAATCACAAAGAAATGACACATCAGCCCAAATTGAAGGACATTGGACTCAACAACTGGCTTGAATTCTTCAGAACCTGTCAATGTCATGAAAGACAAAGAAAGACAAATGGTCGAGAAACCATTCCGGATTGAAGGACATTAGAGAAAGCCAAATGCCATATATGATCCTGAAGTGGGTCCTGGACTGGGCGAAAAGTTACTCCAAAAGACACTTTTCTGAATGATTGGTGAAATTAGAATATGAACTGGATATTATCAGATAATAGTATCCCTATTAATGTGAAACTTTCAGAACTTGAAAATTGTTTTGCAGTTTATAAGAGAACGTCCTCTCTTAAGAAACACGTCTGGGGCGCCTGGGTGGCGCAGTCGTTCAGCGTCTTCCTTGAGCTCGGGTCATGATCTCAGGGTCGTAGGACCGAGCCCCTCATCGGGCTCCCTGCTCGGCGGGAAGACTGCTTCTCCCTCTCCCACTCCCCCTGCTTGTGTTCCCTCTCTCTCTGTCAGATAAATAAAATCTTTTTTAAAAAGGAAAAGAAACACGTCTGAACTATGAGAGAGAAGACATGAGAGCATGCAATTATTCTGAAATCAGTTAGAAAAACAAGCATTTGCGTGTGTTCACATTCCGACGGCGGAGGAAGAGGAAAACAAATGTGGGTAAGTCTGGGTAAGCTGTGTAGGGTCATTCTTGGTACTCTCTTGCAAACTTCTCCGTAGGCTTGAAATAATCTCGAAATAAAAAGCTTCGTTTCTCTCTTTAGTTCACGCGCGGGCCCGGCCGCCAGGACCACACCCGGGGGCGCGTGGATACGAAACCGCGCGTGAGCTGGAGCGCTGGTCCCGCGAGGGAGTGGGAAAGAACCGAAGCCACCGTCCCGGGCGCTCCTGGAACACCCGTAAGTGGGTCCCCGGCTGTCGCCACCGTGGCCATCCCCGGGCCCGGCGCCGTGGTCGCGGGCGGATCCGGCCCCGGCTTCGGCTCGGAGACGCACGGAGAGCGAGGCGGGGCTGGAGCGGAGCGCAGGGCGCATGGCCTTCGGCTGTTAGAGCCGGTGGTCCCCGAGCAAAGGGCGGGCGCTTCCGGCCCTCAGCCAAAGTGTGCGACACTTTAGGAGGAAATCCGAAATCGTCTGGGACCGGGTAAGCCAGGAACCGACGACGTTTAACAGCCGCGCGCGGGGATTCTGGAAACCGGCGGGTTTGGCAGCCGGAGGCCTCGAGACCCCGCGGCAGGTGAGCTGAGCGGCCGAGGACGTTGGCCCCGGGCGGGCTCGGTGGGGAGGGGGGACCGGGAGCGCGGCGCGGGCGGCGGGGAGCAGAGCGGAGGCGCAGGGCGAGCAGGCGCCAGACGGAGGGCGCGCGCGGGTGCGCGGGGTCTCGCGAGCTGCGGGGGCGCGGGGTCTCGCGCGGGGGCGGGCGCGCGGGGTCTCGCGAGCTGCGGGGGCGCGGGGTCTCGCGCGGGGGCGGGCGCGCGGGGTCTCGCGAGCTCCGACGGCGCGGGGGCGGGCGCGGGGCGGCGGGGGCGCGGGCGCGGCGGGCAGGAGGGCCCCGGCCAGGCCCCGGAGGTCGCGGCGTGCAGGGCGCCTCGCGGCACCGCGCCGCCCTGGAGAGAACGCGCGCGGCGGAGCCCGGTTCCCGGTTCCCGGTGCGGCCGGGGAGCCGCGCGCCTCGGATCCCCACGTGCTGGCGGCCGGAGAGGCGCTCCAGGTGGAAGGGAGCTTCCGCACCCCAGCGAGGGTTTTGTTGGGTGTTGAGCTGGGAATACGAGACCCGAAAAATCAGAAAGTGAGGCGGCAACCGAACATGTTTAACTTGGGATGGTTTTCAGGAAGGCAGCCGCGGTGTCTGAACAGCTCGGTGGCAGGCTGTGGGCGCTCCACGGGAGCGGTGGCCTCTAGCCCTCCGTTCGCATACGCGAGCCCGGGGAGTCCGGCTTGTCTCAGCATGTCAGCCGGCTCCTGCCGCGGGCTCCTGCCTCGCCCAGCGGCGATTCTCGCGAGCGTGGAGAGCGGCTCAGCCGCGGCCACCGCAGGACACGAGGCCCCGTAAGAGTTACGCGCGGAGAAGGCAGCGGCTTAGGCCGAGGGCAGGAGGGGACGGAGGGAGGAGGGTAGAGGGAGCGGAGAAGCAGGACTTCTTGCAGGACACGGAGGAGCGGCCTGTGAGCCAGCAAGTCTCTGTGCGCAGCACAAGCCTGACTTTACCTAAGGAGATGTTTTCGTTACGCTTCACTCATAGTTTTTAGCAATTTGAGCCTAGACGAGAGAACAAATTAGTAGGGCTGGAGAGGACAGTTGCTCTCTGCCGTAGCGGCTTGGAGAGACCCAGATAGCTTCATCGGTCCCCAGGCATTTTGTTAGAGGAAGTCTCCTGGGGCCCGTTTGAGTTCATCCATAGAAAACTCAAGGGGTCTTGGGTGTGACCTGCAAAGCGACCTGAACTATTGCTCTGGGTTGGACCTCTAATTCCACCCAACCCTCCACTTTAGTGTCCTAACACCCCACACACTCTTTGCTTAAACACCTACAGAAAACAAGCAGATAAGAAAAAATACATGACATGACTACATTATCTCCCTCCAAAAAATGTGTCCTGTAACAAAAAAGTGGCCCCAGGGCACGTGACCAGTCAGCCCCTAAGCAGGTTTCTGAAGCTGACAGCCCCCCTCCAGAGGGCCTGCTGTAGATATTTTCACTGGAGAAGGGAATCTGGAAATAAGGACACCCCAGCCTGGTGGCGGGTGAGAGTTACGAACTGGAAACAGATTTCATTCCCTCCCAAAGACACTTTGATCCAACAGGAAATAAGTACCCAGATAGCAGCAGTTTTGAGACCACAAAGCTTTGGAATTTCTGAAAAGGTGCTGTTATAGGGGCACCTGGGTGGCTCAGTCGGTTAAGTGTCCGACTCTTGATTTTGGCTCAGGTCATGATCTCAGGGTCATGAGATCAAGCCCCTCATCAAGCTCCATGCTGGGCATGCAGCATTCTTAAGATTCTCTCTCCCTCTCCCTTGGCATCCTTCTGCTCCTCCCCTGCTCATACTCTCTGTCTCTCTCTCTCTGAAAAAAGGTGCTGTTATGGACTGAACTGTGTCTCCCCCCCCCCCCCAAATACATATGTCGATGCCCCAGCCCCCAGTGTGACTGTATCTGAAGATAGGGCCTTTCGGGAAGTAGTAAAGGTTAAATGAGGTCCTACGGGTGGGGCCCTCCTTATAAGAAGAGGAAGAGACACCAGGAGTATGCACACAAAGGAAAGGCGATGTGGGGCTACAACAAACAGGGAGAGAAGGCAGCCGCTTGCAAGCCAGGTAGAAAGGTCTCACCAGAAACCAACCCTGCAGGCACCTTGATCTCGGACTTCCGGCCTCCAGAACTGTGAGGAGATAATTCTGTTGTTAAACCACCCAGGCTGTGGTATTCTGTGACGGCAGCCTGAACAGACTAAGGCAGGTGCCCCCGGTGGAGCAGAAATTCCTGGGAGTCCGCTGGTCATGCAAAGCTGATGTGATAGGATCGGCTGCAAAGGGACAGAGGAAGTGGCTGTCCTTCACCCGCAAAGCCATCCAACACACCTGCGCTCTCGTCACCCTTTGCACCTCTTTTCCTTTGTGACAGAAAAACCTTTCCTACCTCTTCACATGGGGGCCTTCCTTTGATGTTAACTGGGGTTTGCAGGTGTTTTATTGAAAGATTTAAAACAATGGTGAAAATGGGACGAGCGAAGAAATGTAGGAAAAATATTATGGAGTACTAGTTGAGAATGCGTTGATCCGTATTTACTTCTTTCGACAATCTTTTCTCCCACACCCAGCATCCTGTGGCCCACTCCTCCGCAAGGACTCAGGGTTCCGCACCCGTTGTGGGGCTGAGCTGTTGGTGGCGCTCTCCATGCAGGGGGGATCCTGACGCCACAGCCAGTGGGGTTGTGCTGCTCGCCTTTTGTCTCTGGCCCCCAAAACGAAAAGAACTAAAGAAAATATAGGTGGACAATGCTGTTTCTTCTTCATCGCCTTGCCCTCTCTTTAATAATAGTACGCAATGGGAACCAAGGTGAGTCGCTCATTCATGTGCAAGACTTTGCTCGGGTTCAAGAGATGCTGTTATAGGACCCCGTTCTCCCCTGACCCCTTCCCTTTGTCTTCTGTCCCAGTTGCCTTAAGTGATATGGAAGTTCACAGCAAGAGATGAAGGGGAATTCAAGGCAATCTGTTAGGTTATGTTTTTTCTTTCCATATGTGCAGGAATGGAGCAAGAAAAAAAGTTATGAGTGCTAAATCAGTATTTTTTGAAAAATGGCTTTGAATGAGTGATGTAGGGTCAGAAAGGAGTAAAAAGGGAAATTAAAGCTTGGAGGTGCCGGGGATCGAACCCGGGGCCTCATACATGCAAAGCATGCGCTCTACCACTGAGCTACACCCCCCTCTGAAAGTGCTCTTTGCTAATGCTTATCTGGAGATAAATTTGTTTTTTGAGGCCCTCGATCCCCTTGAGCATCATGGTAGCTCAGTGTTAAGGGACATCAGCAGCCCCTGGGCAGGAGACCTTCAGGAGCTAGAGAAAGGGACTGATTCTTCAGAGTGTAGAGCTTGAAGTGGAAGGCAAAAGATTGGAAACGTGTCAGATAATAACCCGAGAAATTCCCACTGTGGCCTTAAAACGTAGTTGCAGTTTCCTTCTCCCATTCTTGGCAAGGAATCAGTCAAGTCCCGGTTTTCAGCTCTTTTAATTTCCTGCAGCTATGTCTTAACCTGCGACACAAGACCATTGAAATTCAGCTTTTTCCTGCCTAGAAAGTGTCATAATATTTGTTGTTTGCTCCATTGGAATGTTAAGGACTGAATTTGATAGAGAAAAGCCATGACCCTAGAAGGAAACCCTAGAGTGATACGTTCAGCGTTTCATTTAAAGGGTCGTTTCATTCTGAATCTAGGCACCCAGGCAATGTAGGAGACCCTGCCAATAGTCCAAAATCTCTTTTTCAAAAGGCGTTCATAAGGCATGACTGAAACATTCAGGGATGGAGAGAAGTGTTGAAATATATGAGTGAGACCAAAGATTTAAGGACTAGAGAAAAAGATCGATCTATCTATCTATCTATCTATCTATCTATCTATCTATCTATCTGAGATATTGTGCCATTAGAAATGGCCAGCCAGAAGAAAATGCAGAAAAGAGGAGGTTATAAAAATTCTTTTGGAAACAGGGTGGTGTGGGGAGGTTGGAAGATGGAGAAGACGAGTTAGCCTTGCTTGTATTAAATTCAAGATCCACATATGTGGTGCACGTATGTGAGGATGTCACATGACCAACTCAGGCAATTACCTGGGTTTCAGGCCTTGGATTTGTGAGTAATCAGTAGACCCAAATATGAGAGGGCAGATAAAGACTGAAAAGTGTGCTTGTTGGTGATAGTCATTAGAAAAAAAAAGTTCACTCTGGGACATTTCTTGAACCCTGAGATTTATCATGGTTAAGACTGTGTTCTTTGAACTACATGAGAAGACTATGAGAAAACCCATTTCCTGGTACCACTTTCTAGTGGTTAACTCTTTCTCATTCTGGTTTCCCCATATATGACCAATATTATATATATATATATATAATACATAAATATTCATAAATAATATTGAGTCATTTCTGAAATTGGACGAATATGATTTGTCTGGCAGATTTGTTCTTCTTTCATTTGGCTTATGGAATCTTTATTTTCTTATTTTCTTTATTTTATTTTAATTCCACTATGGTTAATATACAGTGTTAAATTAGTTTCAGGGGTACAATATAGTGTTCAACCCTTCCATGTATTACTCAGTGCTCATCATAAGTGTCTTCTCTTAATCCCCATCACCTACTTTACCCATCCCCCACCCACCTCCCCTCTGGAAACCATTGCTTTGTTCTCTGTAGTTAAGACTCTATTTGGTTTGTCTTTTTTCCCCTACGTTCATTTGTTTTATTTCTTAAATTTCACATGTGAGTGAAATCATATGGTATTTGTCTTCCTCTGACTGACTTATTTTGCTTAGCATAATACCCTCAGATCCATCCATGGTGTTGCAAATGGCAAGATTTCATTCTTTTTGATGACTTTGATGTATATTCCATATACAGTGGAATATATTGGTATATATATATACAACATCTTCTTTATCCATTTATCTGTTGTTGGACACTTGGGCTGCTTCCATAATTTGGCTATTGTAAATACGCTGCAATAAACGTAAGGGTGCATATATCCCTTCAAAGTACTGTTTTCATATTCTTTGGGTAAATATCCAGTACTGTGATTACTGGATCATAGGGTAGTTCTATTTTTTATTTTTTGAGGAACCTCCATACTGTTTTCCAGAGTGGCTGCGCCAGTTTGCATTCCCACCAACAGTGCACGAGGATTCCTTTTTCTCCACATCCTCGCCAACACCTGCCGTTTCTTGTGTTTTTGATTTTAGTCATTCTGACAGGTGTGAGGTGATATCTCATAGTGGTTTTGATTTGCATTTCCCTGATGATGAGTGATGTTGAGCATCTTTCCATGTGTCTGTTGACCATCTATATGTCTTTGGAGAAATGTCTGTTCATGTCTTCTGCCCATTTTTAATTGGATTATTTGGTTTCTCAGTGTTGAGTTATATAAGTTCTTTATATATTTTGGATACTAACCCTTTATCAGATAGGTCATTTGGAATTTTTAGAATAAAACCATACACATTAGGTGATAGGTTTTACAGAAAGAGGGACTAGAGATGTATCAGACATAAAACTGATGGGTGTTTGTGTGAGTGTGTGTAAATAATGAAGACAATTATCTTGACTGTTTGATGTTGTAAAATATCAGGTTTATGATGCTTTACAATATTAGGAAAGTTTGCAGAAACACTGCTTGGTCTTAATGTTGTGTTGCACTTGGAGAAAACTGGGTATCTGTCTATTGGATTCTCAGGAATTCATAATAAGAAGGTATGCTTTCTTTTTCTGTTTGCCCCATGAACAAGATGGGAATTTAAAAAAAATTAAATGTCTGTAGCCATCTTCAGACTATGGATTCATTTAATACAGAATTATTCAGAGGCATTAAACATCTAAATTTAGAGACAGAATGCACTCATGCCACATATACTCAATTCAGAAAATCTGCAAATATATAAAGTATATGTTTAACCCATCACTGTCCAAAAGGGTAGCTGGTAGCCACACTGAGAATTAAACACTTGAAATACTGAGATGTGCTGTAAGTGTAAAATATACATGGAATCTCAAAGACTTAATTCGATATTTAAAATGTAAAATATATTACTAATAATTTTAAGATTGATTATTGAATGATGTTTTAGACATCTCAAATTATTTAAATATATTTTAAATGAATATAACTTGTTTATTTTTTAATATGATTACTGGAAAATGTAAAATTACAAAAGTGGCTTTCATTTATGGCTTTATTCTATTTCCATAGGACAGCTCTGGCTACAGAAGACATTATCTGTTTAGGTGCTCTTTTGGGAGAATCCTAGAGCCAAAGAATATGAAACATGGTCTTTCATACCATGAGAGGACTTGACAGAATGCATTCATATGAATGATCTCCTTTGATCTTTACAGACATTCCCTTTGTATGTAGACATCATGGACCTCATTTTTAAGATACTGAGTGGAAGACTCATTATGTTTGGGAATTACCCTAGACCTCCCCCCTCAATAGAAGGTAAAGGAAGCATTCATGTGCTAGGCGGTAAAACACGCAGTGATGCTGTTTGTCTGATCAAATATTTTTTAATGAGACAGATTGCCATCTTCTGAGTTGAGGAGGGGTATGTGGCTAATGGACAAAGTGTGTAATTCCAAGCTCCTGTGAAGTCAGTGTCGCTGCCCTGATGTTGATTCTCATTTTGTACCAGTTTTCCACTTGCAACTTGAGGCAGTTCTTACCATTGGAGTACTGCAGGTTATTTTCCTGATGGTGTCCAGGGTTGTCAGGGAAAAACAGATACTGTCGTGGCGCCCGGGTGGCTCAGTTGGTTAAGCATCGGACTCTTGGTTTTGGCTCAGGTCATGATCTCATGGGTCGTGGTATCGTGCCCTGTGTTGGGCTCTGTGCTCAGCCAGAGTCTGCTTGAGGTTCTCTCTGTGTGTGTCTCCCTCTGCCCCTCCCCTCCTCAAAATAAATACATTTTAAAATTAAAAAAAAAAAAGATATTGTGAAGCCAAGACAGTAATTTGAAAAGATAACAGTTCAAAAATACATAAGAATGACCCATTCTTCCTAACAAATACTTTCAAGAAGTTGAAGGAAAATATGGGGTATTTGTCCCTGTGTCTTGATGACTTTACTGTCCATATGCTTTCATTTTTCTGTATTCTGGGTTCCCTTGTGAATGCTCAACAGAGTAATGCTTACTGCAATGCTTATTTTCATTCTTCCCTGAATACCAAAACAGTAATAACTTAAGATGTGCAAATTCTAGACAAGGGTGCAAGACTGAAGGAATGTCTTGTCAACAAGAAAACTCAGAATGTTCTTATAGCCATTTAAAAGCTCAATGATGCTCAAGAGTGTCTCTGATTCCAGCAGTTTAATAATGGCGTAGACTCAAGATACAAACCCAGATTTTCTGATTGCAGAATTGTCCTTGCATACACCACACCCACATACATCCTACTACATACACTGTAGGGGGCTCCTTTTCCAGTGTTCAGGTTTTCCCCTTACAGTTCTCCTGATTAAAAACCACACACGCACACACACACCATCAAAACAGAAATGAGTCGTAAGTGGAACAGCACATAGCATATTGGAATGTCTTAGAGTTTAAAACTTTAAATAAAATATTCACTATGTCAGTTAACATTTCATAGAGCACCTCAGTGAATAGACAACCAAGAGAGGGTGATAACAATATGAATGTACACTCCATGATCGGATTTGCAAAAAGAAGTGAAAGTTGTAGGTATAGACACGCTTTTTGGAACTAGGTCCCAACCCTTGTGTAAAGGGGCGAGAGCTATACCAAAGCAAAACCGAAGTGCCGAAACCCGGGATCGAACCAGGGACC